TGAAGCTCTGCACTGCTGATTTTTTTAGTTTTTCTGTTTGCAACAGCTGTGATTACGTGTTTTTACCAGTATCAACTAACTACAACTCCCTGTGCAGACCTGGATGCTCCTACTAACGTCTTCGCCCAAGATGAGACAGAGTTCAGCTTCAGGGTGCACTGGGATCCCCCTCAGGCAGAAATTGATGGCTACATGCTAACATATAGCTCTTCTGAGGGCTCAAGTGAAGAAATTGTAATTGGGTCTGACAGTACTTCATACACGCTGACTGGCCTGAGGCCTGGGGTCCTCTACACTGTCTACATCTGGGCTGTCAAAGGGAGTAAAGCCAGCAGGAAGATCTCGACACAAGCTGAGACAGGTCTCAGAAATTTAACTTTCTTTTCAAACCTCAGCATTAAATGGTTAATATCAAAGTTAAACAAAACCCATTTCCTTGCCTCTTACATGATAATATATTTTATGTTACGTATAAAGATACAATATTGTCCAAAAGTCTTGAGTCATCCCTCATTTTTTAAAAATTTTGCTCCGAGTGAGGCAGACAAGAGTTATTGAGTTATTGAGCAATAGTTCCCCCTGGCTTTATTGGTGTCTATACATGACACATAACTGATTTTAAATTGTATTTTCAGGCTCTTTATTACCACCAGCCTGTTGCAGAGACATATAATTCGTTCCCATTTCTTGTTTGAATCTATGAAAAATGCCAAAGATAACACAGTTTGACAGGCATAAAATATAATTTCTGAACTACCTGTTGGACAAAATCTTGGCATATATCAGGATAATGTCTAGTGTGTCCTCAAAAATATTTAAGGAGAAAAGAAGAAGTGGTAGGCTATCTAGAGCAGATGAACAGTACCTGAAAGTCCTGTCTTTAGGAAGTAGGAAACACACCAGCAAAGTCCTGCCACAGGATCTGAGAGAGTGTCTGGCCCTTTAGTTTTGGTCAGCAAAGTGGAACATGTTTGCATTTCTCCTTCAGATTCATCTATTGTTCACTGAAGCCTCGTCAGAAATGGTCTCAGTGGACAGGTGGCTGTCAAGAAGCGATTCTTAAGGAAGGGAAACAGGGAGAAGACTGAGGAATGTTAAATCACAGAGGAATCAGACTGCAAATCAGTGCCACAGGGCTTAGGGAGTGATGAATCAAAATTTGAATTTTTTTTAGTAAAATCATCATCAAAACCTCAGGAGAGAGGTACATCAGTGAGTGTCTAATGCTGTGTGTAAAACACAGTGGATCTTCTGTTGAAGTCTGGAGAACTAATGCTGAAAACTACTTAAAGAAATGACAAGATAGTTTGTCCAAGAGAGTTCAGAATGTGTTGAAGAATCGAGTTGTTCACACAAATACTGACTTTATCATGATTGTTTGAACATGTTTGAGTAAATCACTAACCCTTCCCAATTCCTCCAAAAGTATTAATTCTAAATTGTCAGCACTGGTCTACCGTCACCTTGACATACAGTTTTCACAAGGTTTATCAACCAAATAACTGGATTTATTATATTCCTTCACATGTTTTAGATTAATTTAATTTGTCACCCATAATATTCCAGATGACTGTAATATTCATCATTAGAGTTTGTGTATTAATATCTTCCCCTAGAACTGGACGCGCCTGCTAACCTCTTAGCAGAAGATGAAACAGAATCCAGCTTCAGTGTTTCATGGGATCCCGTCCAGGCAGAAATTGATGGCTACATGCTAACCTACACATCCTCTGAAGACGGCTCTAGTGGGGAAATCCCAGTGGGGGCAGATGAGTCTGATTATTTGTTGACTGGTTTGAGGCCTGGGCTCCTCTACACTTTTTACATCTGGGCTGTCAAGGGAGACAAAGCCAGCAGGAAGATCTCAACACAAGCTGAGACAGGTGTCAGATGCCAGTTTTGTTAAAACAAATTGTCTGACTAGTAAATTCATGTTTAATACCCTAGAGCTTCAGATGCCCCATAATTACAGCTTTTCTGAAAAGACAGCAAGTCAACCTCCTTGTAAACCTTAAAATAATGTCTCTCAGATGGTAGACCAATCAGAATCAGCTTGTTTGTTTAAAGCAATTTTCCAATGTATCCATTCATCAGTTCATCCATCTTGCCAACTTCTTCTTTGGGTCAATAAGGGGGAAAGCAGCCCAGACATCTTTTTCCCCAATAACTTACCTCAGCTCTTCCTGAGCAGTCATGTGCCAGCTCACAGCATGTTCTGGAACAACCCAGCGATTTCCTCTGAGTCAGTCATGCCTGCAGTGCAGGGAGGCACTCTGGCCTGCTCTTTCCCATTGACTATTATGCTCACTATTCGGAGCAGTTGCTCCTTTTATAGTTCCTTTCCAGTCGAAGGACCCTTCCTTGATTCATGCAGACTCAGATCCATTCAGGTTAGCCAGCATATTGGAGAACTTCATCTCAACATCTTTTATTCAACAGTATGTTAATTTCACTTGCTTCTCAGCATCTTTGATTGCAAGGGAAGCATGGATTGAAGAGTTCTCTTAAAGCCATTTTCAGTCATGACATAATGTATGTCAGCAGTTTTTGAACTGCGATGATCACGAGCACTTTTCTTCTTCAAACTACAGCACCTTGGACCTATAACATAGGAAAAAACAGATCCGAAACGGAAATGTTTCTTGACAGAAAAACAAGACATTTTCAGCAATATCAGAGGAATATTTGACCAAAAAATCTCAGTGCATCATCAAATATAAATACCATATTCAAGTAATAAGTACTCTCCTTTCTGACAATCAAACAGGCAGTTAAATTTAAAATTTTAATCCTCTTCACAAAAATCAAGTAATTTGCCCCCAAATCTGTCTTTATTCTGTCCTCTATGCTCTTAATCATGTTTTTGTACAGAACTGAATGTTTCTATTCACCTGTTTGGCGAGAGAAAATCTTAAGTGGATCATCAGACCACATTAAGGCAAGAATCAGTAGATATAATTTTAGATGTGATGAAAACACAGTTAAAGAGACCACTTAGGAGCTGAATAGTTTCTAACTGAAGTCCTGACTCATCATTCCCTTTAAACCACTTTGGGCCTGTGAAATGTGACGCAAACCAGCAGGTTTCTAAATGGACAAAGTGAACTTAAAAAACATCAGTATTCATCACGTACTCACAATCATGATACTAATGCTTGTAGAAAATTCAAGCTAAGTTGTTTCATCCCCCTGATGTAGTGAAAGATGAAACAACACATCTTGTAGTTTGCACAAGCAGTTCTTGAAATGTGCATGAGTAGTGCAGTAAACCTCTTCTACTAACATCTTCCTTTAGAACTGGATGCTCCTGCTAACCTCTTAGCCCGAGATGAAACAGAATCCAGCTTCACTGTGTCATGGGATCCAGCCCAGGCAGAAATTGATGGCTACATCCTTACCTACACCTCTTCTGAGGGCTCTAGTGAGGAAATCCCTGTTGGGTCTGACAGGACCTCTTACATGCTGACTAGCCTGAGGCCTGGAGTTCTCTACACTGTCTACATCTGGGCTGTCAAGGGGGACAAAGCAACCAGGAAGATTTCAACAAAAGCACAGACAGGTCAATACAATATGAACAAGTGGATTTTTTCCCCCCCTTTTGGCGATATTGAAACTCTTCTTTCTTATGAAACATTGAAAAGGGTCATTTTTCTTCTCTTAAATTTGTTGCAGGCTTGGGTTCTACTGTTAAATACATTGATGCATTTGGGCAGAGCAGCAGGATGTTGCAAAAACAGTTTCTCCTATTAAAGTAGTCCTTAATTGAATGTTTACATGAGCCAACTCTGAGCTTTAACTGGCTGTAAATGCTGAAAATACCCATTACTTTTAAACAGTGTTTACCTGTTTGTGGGTCTGACTCTCTGTTAGGATGAGAAAGCCCCCCAAAAATCTACCCAACTAAATTTTATGACACTTCATGGCAAGATGGAGAATGCCCAAAAGAATAAACAATGGTGCAGCTCAAGATTATTTCCTTGATAATGAACAGCAACATTTGAGTGTCCTTTTGTTATGTGTCAGCAGTATTGCACAAAAACAACCAGTCAGAATGTATTACAATTTCCTAGAGAGGCAGAGGAAGACACCATTAAATTGTAGTTCATCCAAAGCAATTTATTTAGTATTCTTTCTTACTAGACATGAAAAACTGCAAAGGGTCCATCAGTACCTTCTTTTAGTAATCAGTCCCAGGTAGGGATGGGTATCGTTTAGGTTTTATCCGATACCGGTGCCAAATCGGTACTTTTGAAACGGTGCCGGTGCTTAAACGGTGCTCAAACCGGTGCTTAAAGAATGGAGAACACAAA